GTTTAAGAAGGTTTTGGTTTTGAAGAGCATTGCCAACTGTTTAAAAAGTTAAATTAAATTTATTTAATAATTTAAATGAATACAATAAGGGTATCAATCGAAATCGTTTTGAAAAGGCTTTATCTCTAAGCTTAACGAGGCAGTGTTACCACCGGTTTGAGAAATCAAATTCAACTTGAATTAAAGGAATTAGAATTGAAATACGTACATATGTGTGTGTCAAAATATGGAGGTCAGACGAAAGACTTTTTTATGAAGGTTTTAGTTGGGAAATATTTTGAAGAGGGTCGCCAACTGTTTAACTGTTAAATTAAAATTGTCTAATAATTTAAATAAATACAATATGGGTGTCAACCGAAATGGTTTTGAAGGGGCTTCATATCTGAACTACATGTTGGAGGGTTGGCACCTGTTTAAAAACTCAAGTTGGACTCGAATTAAGAGAATAAATTTACTGAAATTATTTTCAGAACATGGGTGTCACACAAAAGAGGTGTAAGAAGGTTGTAGTTTGGAAATATTTTCAAGAGGGTTAAAAAATTTTAAAATCTCTTATGTTTTTTGGCAATCTAGTTTTATGTAATTATAAATATCTTAAATTTAAGTAAACAATTTTTCCAAACCACTTGTCAACGTCCCTAAAGGCAAAAAGTGGGAATGAGTCAGATAATCTTTCAAACAGACCTCATCACTTCTGTATTTTCTTCGCTTGGAAATTTAACACCGCACGCACTCACTAAACGGCAATCAACATCGAAGTACAAATAAAAAAATGCAAATTTTCTACTCATGAATTTCACCACAAAATCATCAATTACGCCTTAAAATTGCTCTACGATATCCCTATTTCCATCCAGCGCCGCCATTTTTACGTTGTAATTTTCGGAATTCGTTCTTTTTTTTTTCTTTGGAAAAAGCTCGAACATTTTCGTAATAAAGCACTTGGGTTGCTTGCATTATCCAACACACACGCAAATACATATACTCGTACAAATGTGTGTATGTACATATATTTTCAAGCTAGCTGTTTAGTTGGTAAATGCAAAATAGGCACCACATGAAAATATGTTTTACGAGCTCCGGTACGTACAAGTCACGGAAATTCCGTGCATTGCATATTTGCACGTCAGCGCACAGTTGAATTCAGTTTGAAAACTTCTTTGGAAACACCAAATAGAAAGCCTTGCTTTTTCGAGCACAAATATCGGAGCGTATGTACATACATAGGTACGCCATGCCATCCAGCTAGCACCACCTCACACTCGCCAAACGATTTTCTTGCCACCTCACTACCGTAAAACAAAAACTGCATGCCGGCTAAGTCCTACCAAATTTACATATGTATGTACATATGTAGTATACCGTCTTACCTGTGTATGTAAATTTGTGCGCTCAGGTGCCACCGTCAGTATGGCGCGGCATTAATGTGCAGCAGGGATAATTTATTTTATCGCTTGCAACAAATCTAAATTGATCGTTAGGCTCCCTATACTAGAACGAGAAACTCTGCCACCAACACCATCACAACCACCACATGTGGTGCTTATTGTATTATTGCTGTATAACGGTATTTACTCAAATACTGTACACATTGAATGTGTGATTCGTATAACGAAAATTAATTTGTGAAAACAAAACAACGTTTTTTTTTCTTTTCGTGTTGTGTTGCTTTGTTGTCGTTTCTGTTTGTTTTCAGTGGCTTTGTTTTCCATGAAATACTCTTTGCTTTCATCAATTTTATGAAATTTCCAAATTATGTAAAAGCCAAGGAAGCGCTATAAAAATAATGACGCATACTGCTACTACCTATAATGACTGTAATAATAAAAAAATGTGTAGCAACTAAAATAGTTAAATATAAAAATAGACATTTCTGAAGTACTCTTGAATTTTCAAGTTTTACGAAGCCGCTTGATTTAATTCAACGCTTCTCAATTAAACCTTTTGAAACTACTATTTATGTAGGTCATAAGTATATGCGAACACGCCATCGTTTATACTTTCGAACGAACGGCTCAAATGTCCGAAAAATAGACAAAAATTTGTGCTCCAGGATAGCAATGCTTAGGCTGAAAACACAGAGTAGCGGCGAGCATCGAGCAAAGCGTCAATTACAAAAGTATATCGCTAGCTTAGAGTGAAAAGTTGCAAAGTCCTATTTTAAAAATTTTACAGGAGAGTAAAAAAACTTCGTATAGCTAACTTCTTCAAGTATTCTGCAAAGCTTTGAATACAACATTTTGGCTTTTTAAAGCAAAGCAAAACTCCATATGAATCAGAGGGATTCCATCTATATTAAAAGATTTCGTACTTTTGGACTTAGCAAATTTTCCTTTCATTGAATATAAACTAGAATAAATAAAACCAGTTCCTTTATCCTTTTCGGGATACAATACACTTTTAATTTCTCCAACCTAATATAAGTTTTCATAAAATGTGGACTTAGCAACTTTCCACTCTAAGCTAGCGATATGTTTCAATGGGAGCGCGCATAGTGATGAGAAAAGCGAACATAGGTACACGTGTGTAATCGACGCCTTGCTCGTTGCTATGCTCATCGCTCTGCTCGCCGCTCCACATTAACCTTTGAAGCCTTCGCTTTAGTCTTTTTACTTAAAAGACTTTCAATTATTAATAGAACTGTTGCACACGAGCCCGGGGTTTTCCAAAAGAACGAATACTTTCCACACTTTTATCGTAAATGTCCTCCTCGTTTATAAATAAAATACAATATGCGTTAAATCTTCACCATGACTTCTCTGGCACGTCATGTTGAAACCACATATTTTCCTAGTTCATGTCATCTAATTCAGGCCATAAAAAGTTTGTTATCATGTCACGATAACGTTAACCATTGACTGTAATAGCGTTAGGTTAGGTGGCAGCCCCGTGTTACCGGGCCTCACTTAGACAATTAGGAGATTGTCCTTTCCACATTCTGAACGATAAGCGCCCCGAGCCGATTTTTGTTTGTTAACGTATTCGCTTAAATGGAAATGTGCCTCATTGCAATGAGCGATATGCACTTCTTGTCGAACGACCATTTTCATAAAATGTTGGAATCACTATTACGCGTTGTTCAACTGAATATCGCTCCATAACAAAATTTTTCCAAAGACTGTAGAACCAATTGTCTAAAAAATATATAAAAAAGTCTAAGTTCGGGCGGAGCCGAACATTAAATACCCGGCGCAAGTATTCAATATAGTTTTTTCAGCTTTCGGAAAACTACCGCTGCGTGGTAACCAGATAGAACGTTCAGTTAGATATAAGGTTTGTATAGTAACCAATATTTAGTACTAGTTTGTACTGGAACCTGCAAATTTTTACTGGAAAAGTGTATGATAACCCAAAAAATTTGCAAGAGTGCACTGAATCGAGAGCGTAACAACACGGGAGAGCTGCAAATTCTTGCTAGTGAAATTTTTACTAGCAGAAATTAGCTAGCAGAAGAAGAAGAAGAATAAATGTCAAAAGTCGCCATTTGTTGAATTGCTTTAGCACAAACAAAAGTAAAATGAGTGGAAATCAAAATATTAATGATGTACTGGACTGTGTAAGTGCTTGTGTGTAAGGCAAAGAGTTTAAAACTGATTTATAAATAGTAAAATGTTTACAGCAGAATATCAAAACGGTGCAACAACTATTCACTTGCAAGTTTTTTACTAGTTTTGTGTTCAATAACTTTTTCTGCTAGTTTTCTCTTCTTCTCACTTTTACGCTCTATTTTGCTTTTACGCTCTCGCTGCAATATTTTACTGGATAAGTTACTATACAAACCTAAATTGTGATAAACTTATATATATATATATATATATATATTTAAGTGGGCGGCATCACGCCCATTTTCCAAAATTCCATAATAATGTTACTTCTTTTCAAGGGATTGTTGTTAGTATCAATTTTGGGTGAAATTAGCGTCCTTAAATTTCTAAATATCGAAGTTTCAAGCATTTCTCGAATTTACCGTTATAGAAAAGTGCGCATAATTTTAGTCAGATTTCAATAAATTTCAAAGTTTTTTCTTTATGTGGCAACCACAATAATCGTACCGAGTTTGGTACTGATTGATCGAACGGTTACCGAGATACAGATAAGTGGTCATAAGTGGGCGGGGTTACGCCCATTTTCTAAAATTTTAATAGAAGCGTATTTTTTCTACAGAATTTTCGCAAACATTAATTTTGAATAAATTAGCTTCAGTATTTACTGATTTATCGAAGCTTTCGTATTTCTGTAAATTACCTTTATATGGGATGTGGGCGTGGTTATTGTCCGATTTTTTTTTCTAATTTTCAGCCATTTGGTACGTTTTGTCAAGACCAAGTTTGGGAGAAATTGGTGGAGCGGTTCCCAAGATATACACATGTAATCATAAGTGGGCGTGGCTACGCCCATTTAAGAAAAAATACAGTATTCTTATTTCTCGCCTAAAAATTATTGTAAATATTAATTTTCAGTGAATAAGCTTCAGTAGTTACTAAGATATCGCAGTTTTCGTATTTCTGAAAACAACCGTTATATTGGAGGTAGGCGTGGTTATCGTCCGATTTTGCGCATTTTCAATACCATCCATCCTACGCTGAAAAGAAGTATACATACCAAGTTTCGTTAAGATATCTCAATTTTTACTCGAGTTATCGTGTGCACAGATGGACAGACGGCATGCAGCCTACGTCAGCTGTCAAATTAATTTTGACAAGCGGTATGTGTGATCAAGTTTCAAGAAAGTTATTGATCGGACACCGCACTGTTAAAGCCCCGGAAATGTATAAGCAGCAATGATGATACATGGGTACCGATGATGTTTGCGTTCACTTGCGATGTGTGTATGAAAAGTTAATTATGACTTGTGCACACTGTTGTCTAAATCCTTGACAAAAATATAATTAAAAATATTCTCTCGAATATTCTTACAATTTTTCAGATGTATGAAATATGTAAATTTTTTATCTAAATATTCATTAATAAATAATATTTTTATAATTTGCAATTTTCAGCTACTGTTCTACATAATACTACCCTCACTTCGCCCATGGCTGCCCAACAGAATTCCACACTCATTTACGATAATTTAGATGAGTGCCCTTCGTTGCTCAAAGAACCTGAAGAGCTAAGCCGTTACAGTCCTATATTACCATTGAAAAATCAGAATAATGCAGTTCAACAAAGCACACAGCCATGCGATGGCAAGACTAACAACAACAACAACAACAAAAATAAAAACCACAACTTCAATCCTAAAATTAAGGAGTTCCACAAATATCGCAAATACGCTAGTAATCGTTTACATCGGAATTACGCGCCGAGTACCTGTAGCGCTCAGAGCGGCCGAAGTCGTACGATCTCATTAAATGGTGCCAATAGTGCAGAGGTAAGAATCTCAAAAAAAAAATTATGAACATTTTTGCAATTTTTACTAGCTTTACTTCGAACGTTGGCCTTAGAAAACCATTACCAAAACACTTAAAAATTATACATATTTACATAATTTTTTTAAAACAAAAAAAACGTTTCGAAGCGAAAAACGAATCGGTGAAACGCACTGCGTCAAGAAACCGTAAGACAAAGTTACCCTTTGATTGAGAATTTTACAAAGCAGGACCAGAAATCTTTAAGTCCAACCCACCCCAAAAAGCTAACAAATATGCTTGGCGAGCTTTTTGCAAAAGCATAGAGTAGTGTCAGGAAACCTCTAGATTTAGATGCGTGCTTGCGAGGTGTACCACTACCTTGAGATATCTGAAGGACTAGGCGGGAAATTGGACAGTGATTAGGAACTGTTCATTCAAGTTTCTCCTCGATGGCCATTTTCAGAATATATTCAGAATTCGCTATGTCGAGGCTTTTAGTCGACACTTCATTATATAGAGGCTTTTGCTAACGGGATTTTACCCGACAATATATGTACATATGTAATATATCGAAGGTTTCCAAACTCAAAATTTCTTCATTACATCTATAGAGCATGTTTGTATGGAAAATTTTGCAACAGCGAGGTTTTTTTCAGTGTACTCAACAAAAATGTTGTTATATTGAGTTTTTCGTTTTATCAAAGTTCATTATATAGAGTTTTCACTGTACCAGTTTTATTCAAGCTTTCTTTAACTGAAAAACTTGTTTGCTTATGTCTCTCTCTCTTTCTCATTCACAGGAGCAAGGCCAAAAGGAGATACCCATATGGCTTGACGATGAACCACGTTACGTGTCCGGCGTAAATAGCCGCACCACCTGCAATGACATTATCAAAGCTTTGATTGATGACGAAATTCGTAATGGAGGCAATCACGATTATTGTGCCAATCGTGGCAAATGTAAGTCAAGACAACAAGAAACCAAACCATTTCTAGTAATATTTATTACAACACAGCGGTCTCAGAGGGCTGCGTGCGTACGATTGAGAGAAAAATAGAAGGCAGGGTAGTAGAAAAGGAGAGCGTATATTTTATTATCCACTATCTCTCACTCGCTTACTCTTATACACAAAATATCCACCTACATATGTACTTATAATGGTCCTATTATCTACATAATTTTTTGATTTCAAAATGCAAATATTTACATACTTCAACGGTTTACGTTGGCGTTTCATGATAGCTTGAAATTGAAAATGTAATACAAAAACTAAGTAAATAAATAACAACTATACAGTATTTATATACTAATTTCTATTGATTTCTTTTCATTTCGGCGCTCGTCTACAACAAACTCACCGCCACCAAACCACCCACCCATCCAATTCGGCATAACTCACTACCCCTGGCGTGACTTGACTGCGCGTCGGTGCTACCTACTTGCTGTTTTGCTGTTGTACACATGGACTACGCTTCCGGTACTTGCCTCGAACTATGGACTCACTTCCGTTACGTTGGCGGAGTGCTGCATGTTGCTTTACTTGGCTTGACACCCGCGAATCGCATGCACTCACACACACACACACACAAACTCATGTGCATATTTTTATATAAAATATATGGCAAATAAAAATAACATGACTCGCTAACTATGTACAACAACAATAAAAACAATGTGCAAATAGTTGACGCAGCATCGCGTGACTACAGCGATTACGTTATAACAGAAAGTTGGCGCGGTATCGAGCGCAGCTACGATGGCAATATGGCGATTTTGCCCGTTTGGAAGGCTTGGAGTCGAGTACACAATGAGGTAATATACACTAACATTTACTTGATTTTTTTTTACTATATACATACACAGTTACATAGTTAGACGTGCAAACATACATGCTTTAATATCGCGCATTCAAAGCAATGTTTTATATCATTAGTAGTTCTCGGTAGCGCCTTGTTCGCTGGTACCTGTCTGTGAGTCGTAATTATATAACGGTAAAAAACACGAATAGCAAAAAGAATGGAGCCACAGCGCCCACGACGTTGCACAAACGCGGAAGAGAGGGCCGAGAACGTTTGCTTTATTGAGGTGTTTTGGCATTAATCTAAATCTTATATTAGAAACACTAAATTCACATGCATACATATGTATGTATGTATATGTAATAGGCGCTTAAGGCTATCCCCCACCTAACCCCCATTGAACTTCATCTAACAGAGATGGATATGAATTCGGCAGGTAGACTCAGAGAAAAGACGTACACTTAGGTCTCTTTTTATGCGGTTTTTTTATGCGGATTTGAATTTATGCGGGTTTTCAAATCATTATTTCGCAGTAGCGATTTTGCTTTTTTGAGAGTTTTTATTACTTTTTTTTCATTGTGTAAGAGACAATGCTTCTGATAAATAATTTGTCTTTGTATTCTTACATAAGTCATGTATTTATTGTGATATTTTTTATTTTTTATTTTTTGTTAAAATAGATAAAATTTTATTTATTCCATTAATGTTCAGCTTTACATAAGTGTTGAAGTAAGAAATAAATTGTTTTTTTTTTTGCTTAATAATTTTTGGAATTTTTTACATGGACTATCTGAATTTATGCGGTTTTTGAAAATGCTGGAACGCATTCCCTGTTTTTGTATTAAGCGAAGCGCACATTGGCGCGATTCTGTCGTTGCGAATACGTTGCGAATTCGGCTGTTAACTTCGAATCCGCAAACGTGCGCACACTTGAGCGATTTTTTCGCGTCGATTTCCGATGTACAATTCACTAAATTTTCCCTTTATTTCGTGTATTTTCGCACTCGGCGTGCCCAAATCGTACAAAATACTATTATTACGAACGTTTTTATTAGTTTTTGTATATTACACGTTTTTTTTTCTTTGCCTTTATTGCTGTGACACCTTTCTTCTTCTTCTTTGACGCCTTCAAAACGCTGCAAGCCGCGTTTCGAACGCGTCAATAGAGAACATTGAATGTTCGAAAAATTCGCAGCGACGGAATCGTGCAAGTGTGCGCTAGCGCATTAAAATGTATGGGTAGCATTGTTGTAATTTTTGGGCTTGCGGATTCGCAACGACAGAATCGCGCCAATGTGCGCTTCGCTTTAAAGTAAAGAACTTTTTTATGCGGCTTTCTGAGGAACGCATGTACCGCATAAAAATTGACCTAAGTGTAGTGTAGAACGAGAAACTTCGATCACGGCTCAATAGTTAGCGAGATATAACTCGGAAATCGACGGTACGTCCGATACTAACAGCACGTCTAAAACTACTGTACGAGAAGAAAAATGACAACAACAAAATATTAAGGACAGACATGGAAGGGAATACACTAACAGCAAAAACAAAGAAGGTAAAAATCACGGACTTCTACCTGCCGTCAAAAACGAGCCAGAACAATTCATCTACCTATTGAGCACCGCAAACACTGCAAAACTAAGAAGACGTACCTAACAAAAGAAAGAGGTAGTTAACAAGGAGTATAAATACGAGCAACCAACAAAAATTATGCCGAACGAAAAATGACACTGAAGATGGCACAACGCCGAAACCGGTTTGTCTCCAAGCCAAATTTGCAAGGGATGACGGAAATTCGTTCCAAAATACATAAAGTTTTTAAATATTTAAGTACAATGTTCATATTGGGGGCCATGGACATTGGCATCAAAATTTCAAGAGTGTGTAATAAAATGGCAGCATGCAAAATATCTGTTCATGCTATTTTGTAATTTTTGAAATTTTATGATTTTAATACCCGAGCGCACTTGTGCACAAGGGTATATTAATTTTGTTCGCATAGCGGTTGTTTGTAACAGTAATGTATACATAAATGCTCAGAATGAAAAGAGAAATCGATTAAGCCATGTCTGTCTGTCCGTCCGTCCGTCCGTCTGTCCGTGTACACGATAACTCGAGCAGAAATTCGGTATGCAGGTTGCTCCTTATTCAAGGCTCGTTAGTATTGAAAATGGGCGAAATCGGACTGTACGAACGCCCACTTCCCATATAACGATATTTTCTAAAAATTCAAAAACTACGATATTTCAGTTAATATTAGATGGAAATTATTGAAAATTAGTACGTGAAGTAGAATTGTGGTAAGAAATAATATTATTATGAAAATTTATGAAAATGGGCGCGACCCCGCCCATTTATGATGGAATGCTGTATCTCGGTAGCCGTTCCACCAATCGTTACCAAACTCGGTACGAGCCTTGAGTAGGATCTAACTAAGGAATCTGTTAAAAATCTTTGAAATCGGGAAATAACCACGCCCACCTGCCATATAACGGTAATTTACAGAAACACGAAAACTGCGATAAATCGGTAACTACTGGAGCTAATTCACTTAAAATCGATGATTGCAATTACTACTTGGCAGAAAATTTGAATATTATAAATTTTTGGATAATGGGCGTGGCACCGCCCATTCATGACCACAAATGTGTATCTCGGTAACCGATTTATCAATTTCGACCAACTTCGGTGCACTTAATAACCTTGGTACGGAAAAGCAATTTGTTTAAAATTATTCAAATCGGACTAAAACTACACCCGCTTACCGAATAACGGTAAATTTCAGATATACGAAAACTCCGATATTTCAATAACTGAGGACGCTAATTTACTCCAAGTTATTAGTTACAACAATCCCCTAACAATAAATAAGACTGCTATAGGCTTTGAGGAATTGGGCTTTATGACTACAAAAGTGTTGTTCGGTTACCTCTTTATCCATTTGTGCCTGACTTGGTTCAATTATATCATTAAGTCTAACTCTGCATATTATCGAAAACGTTTGAAATTGAGTAAACACCCCTACTTACCATTCAAAGGTAGTTCAGAGCCGGGTATATGAAGTTCGGTTTCGCCCGAACTTATACTTTTTTACTGTTTTTTTTTTTTTTAATTCTAATAACACTGGATCACAAAATAGTGTTTTTTTGTTTTTGTTCTACGAATGTCCCTATCCATTCCCCGTGAAGAATCGTCCGCTGCTTTCGAAAACACCAGGTTAATTTTTTATTCTGTGGATAAGTTTTTGAGATATTTTAAATTTATCGTTATTCAGCTTAAAATAAAAAAATAGTTCCTTTTAATCACGTATATCTTACGAACCAATCTAACAATCGTAATACGAAGGATGGCAAATGAAAGCCAACAATTGTCCATAATCCGTATATACACCACTTTTCGATAGGCCTGATAGTTTCTAAGAAATTAATAAATCACTCCAGATTTTTTTTTTTTTTTTATGAAAAAATTTAAACAAGTGGAACAAGGCAGAACGAAAAATGACACTGACTGACCAAAATGTATTCAACATAGTGTGATTGATTTCGACATTGCTCTCATAAGAAACAGCTATAATGTCAAACTGTAATGAATTCTTAACCCTTTTCTTACACTGTGTTTGTGACGTATTATGTTATGGCATTAATTTCTTGCAGATTCGTCTAAGCTTAAAACACTACAAAGAAGTCGCCGAACCCACGCCGCCAAAGCAAAACCGTAACTGGCTTCAATCGCTACGAAAATACTTTGCCAACTTATTTAAATTTACGAAGCGAAATAAGGAACTTCCACTGCCCATCAAAGATAAGCATCAAAAAACTCTCCTAACCATTAAAGAGGAAGAGTCCCCCGACGAGATAGTCTTCATTTTATTACCCGATAAGAAGTACGCCAACGGCTCTGCACGCCCACCAACAAAAGAAGCCCTGTACTCCGCGTCCAACAGCAATGATTCCACCACAAAGGCGGAGATGCTGAAACGCAAACTGTACAGCCTCTCCGAAACGCGTGTCTCTATGCGCCGCAAAAAGCGCTTGAGCAAAACCGCAATACGAAATTGCGAAAAACTACGCGAAAGTCCGCTTGCCAACGCACCAGAGGTGGCAAATAATTGCATACGTCGGCGCAAGGATGCGCCCATACGAAATTCGATACGTCACAAGTTAGCACAGAAGACAAACGAAATCGATACACTTTACAAGCGCGAACTGGAGCTAACTAAGCGACTGAATCACAAATGTCAGCTTTATAAGCTAAGCAATGAATTGTATTCGAATGCGGATCAGAGGCTTGAGCTCTCGATTGGACAGATACAAAGAAATGTTGAGCAATATGCCGAACAGATTATACAAACCGAACATGAATTGCGCGAATTGAAGAATGAAATCAGGCAGGATATATCGTTAGTGAATAACCTCAAGCGAATGACTTTGGATGCGGTGGAGAATGTGAACGATTGTGGTGTGTCGCTGGCAGCTGAAATGGTTGGAGGACCAGCGCCGACTGTGGTAGGTAAGCCGCAAGAGAACGAGGGGAATACGGAAATGCAGTTTGTCGATAATATCTATGAATTCTGTGACAATAACGCTAGCATGTTGGTCTAAGGGTGGTAAAGCGCTGAAAAGGGGGTAAATATTTTACTTTCTTTAAATCGATTGGAGGATATAAAGTATACTTAATTTTCGAAACTATTCATACACTTAAGTTTTTAAGTACACTCTTTAGTTGTTAAAGAAATTTTATTGGAAAACTAAATAGGGGCGTTCGCTTAAACTGTAAAAACGCTCGACATTTTCGAAAGTCTGTAAACTAAATTGTAAACATTTCCATGAAAAGTTTTTAGTTTTCGGTTTTTCTTTAAGTTTAAGAGAATCGCGTGAGTATAATTTGAACTAGTGGTAGTGATTTTTCCTATTCCACATATCACCAAGTTTCATGAATACACCTACTTCATATTTTTGGTAACACCAATAGTGCCTAAATTAAAAAAAAAGAACATCAGAAATTAAACTTCAGATTTTAATTTATAAAACCTAAGTAGCAAGTTCATGTTAATAATATACTATATACCTAAGTTATCATTAGCTTATTTTTTTAAAAGTGTAATAAAAACCGTCCCGATAAAAATATTAGCAATAGATACTCGTCCATATTTTGTATATAACCTAGTTTAAGCTTTATACTAAGTTTTATATTGAAAAATCATTTTTAAAAAATTCAAATATTTTATAAACTGTTACTAAATATTTACAAAAATCTGAAATCGCCAACTTCAAGTGTTAATAAAGTTAATAAGATAAAGTAAAATTAAAAATTTTTTATCTTTAATTGTTCTATTTAGGCGAAGTAAAAAAATAATAGGGGTCATCACATCAAGCCTGGTACTCGGTGTTTCTCCGTGTATTGTTTGTGTAAAATTCCTTTATTATTGGTTCACACATTATCGAATTATCGTTGTGGCCAGCTTACTAATTTTTCTATTCGATTTTTATTCAATTCTAAATCTGCTCGCTGCCAAAAGGCAGTAAGTAAGTAAGTGAGTAAGTAAAATTCATTTAATTTTCTCTTACAATTTATTTTTTTATATACATACTAGGTATGTTAATCCCGGGATCCCGGCCTTTTTTAGGTTATTTTCCAAGAATCCCGAGATTTTTGGTGATTTGTAATTTGCCCTGATGGCAATAATAGAAACTTTTCTTGACCAGTATTGACTATATTTATTTTTTTTTTATTCAATAATTAATATTTTTTCATAAATGTCTAGCTCAATATATATGTATCACCGTGCGATAATTTACAATCTTTACTTTACACCCAAAAATCAATATATTCGTGAAACCCTGGGCCTAATATTATAAAATTGCGTTTTTAGTTTTTCATCCTGACGTAAGTAATTCCAAAATGATTTAAAAAATTCAGTGAAATGTGCTTAGAGAAGAAGTATAGGTATCAAAGGAAATTCTGTAGAATTAAATTTTTTTGTGCATATGGACCGGTAAGTATTGGAAATGTCCTTTTCACATTTTTTCTTAGAAATTTCGCAATATTTGTTTTTGAAATAATTATATGTTATGGACTTATATAAACTCGATAACATCCTTGAATTTCGTCCTTTTAACTTTATCAGCTTGAAAATTACCTATTCGTCCTTGTGAATCCAAAAAATTTTAATTTTTCAATTCTAAAGAAATTTCCTTCCCTCCTTCCTTTTATTTGGTACCCATATTTTTATTCTACAATGCATTGAATTTTTTAAATCCTGACGTCAGAGAGAAAAAGTAAAAACGTCACTTTAAATAAAAAGTAGGTTTCAAACATTTATTTATTATTTATTTTATGGTAGGAGAGCTTCTCCAACAATTTCGAAGCAATTTTTTCGATTTAAATTGTTGAAAAGTAATGAATATCTTAATCCCGGAAATAATCTCGGGATCCCGGGATCGTGATGACGACATCTCGAAAATCAAATCCGGGAGAAAATTCATTATACTAACAAAAGTAAGCTGAAAATGACGTTCACAGTTGATAAAATCCCGGGGTATCATGAATGGAAAGCGTAAGGTCTAAAGCCTCGCGTACAAAGACAGCTTATGGCTTAGCTACCAGCTGAGCTGATCAGCATGCTGATAAGCGCTGAGAGAACGATTATATTGGAAGCAAGCAAGTGTGGGCATCAGCACGGTTTTATTTAGTTGATGTACCGTATTTTTTTAACAGCGCTATTATATTGCTGATCACCTCATCTTCAGCGGAGCTATTTATAAGCAAGAAAGGTATGTGCAAGAAAGGTAAGGAATTCGGAATGGTGAAATTGGAGAGGCGCCTATTACGAGTTAAACTTCTTCAAACTAAATTTCACCATCGATGGCGGAAGATCAATACATTTGCCCCAAAAATGTATATCCTTAGTCTAATGTGCGAGACCAAGAAATAATACTAAATGACTCTATATATCCAGGTGAATAGAGACACCCCGCAGGGCTGTGTCGTGGTGGTAAACCATCTACCAGAGGAGCTGGAGAAACACAGCTGTCGGGTAATTGGGCATTAGGAACTGACCCAACGTTATCTTAAAATGGGCGGCCTCGCGGTCAATCCCAGTAAGATAGAACTTATCTTATTCACTAGACAGTAAAAAAGTGTCTGACGCTGTTCTTACCTCTATTGGAGGTCAGGGATTACAGCCATCTGACAAGGTCTAGCACTTGGGATTGATCTTTGACAAGGAACTCTGGTGCCAAACCTCGAGAAGTGAGCAAGGAACGCATCAGTGAGTGGTATTATACGGGTGTAGGTGAGCTATTGGAGAGAGATGGGGTGTTTCGGTCAAAGTTGTATATTAGCTCTACAAGACCGTAGTCAATAATACTCAGCCTTATCCTTATCCCGTCACCCGAAAATTTTTCATCCGCTCATAGTAAATACACGGAAACAAAAAGTGAAAAGTAACCGGTTGGGAAAAGGAAACTCATGATAAGACTGATTGTGTATGTTTTATTGAGGCTCAGTCTGGTGAAACTCACTTGAGAAGGCCACACTAGCTAAGACTTAATTGGTATTAGTGAGGCACTACGGACCACCTCACATTGGCACTTAATGTAATGCTAAACGTAGTGCCTGTCGACATTGCAGGCAAAACCGCCGCAGCGCAAACATCTATTAGACTCAGGGAATTCGATTGGTTGACAAACTTAAGGACTGGACACTTTGGAGTTCGAAGGGGCTTCGATTTCATCCGTGGTCGCACGGATGGCTCTTATAAGCTTCTCCTTTGCGGCACTTCTGGAGAGCGGGAGCAGTGAAATTCTTCCCAGATGGATCGAAACTAGGTGGCAGGGTTTGTGGAGTGCGATGGCAGTCAGGGATGTAATAAGCAAGAGGTTATCAGGGCTTTAAGTGCGTTAGAGATGCGCTCTAATCTGGTTAAGGTATGTCTGCTCTCTCTTTTAGTTGCGTCGAAATACTTATATATTTGTCCCTTATTGTCTCTTTTTTCTGAGCTCGGCGTTCCCGCAAACCCACAGCAGAAGTTCAAGCTTGTTTCCCTTCGCAACAGAATTTAACCTCAACTTACAATCCAAGGCCTTCATAGCAGCAGGGATGTTTCTGCAGACTTTGATTTGATATTCGCGCCACCCTCCTTCAATTATTCATTTCATTAAATTGAGTATTTACAGTGGGGACACAATTAGGCGCTTCTGGCTTAATGACTACTGAATTCAATGTGGAGATACTGTAACTAGTTAGCGACAATTTTCGGATCGGTATCGCTTTTGTTGACGTATTTTTTGAATATTTTTACGCCCACAAGCGCGATAGTGATCCGACATCCCTCAGGGTCACATGCCGCTTTATTGGTTTCCAAATCTGTGTAGGAACGAAGTAGTATGTTAGGAAAGGTTAGATTAGATAAGCTGCCCTTAACAAGAGTTCACCCGGTGGCCACAGAAGTACGTTTAAATGAACAGGGAAAGGTTTACCCAAACCATTCGGATTTTTTTATGAATAGGCACAGATTTCCCAGTGAAACGGTGCCTAAGCTGCCAAGGTCATTGTAGCAGTAGTCCTCCAGCAATCTTAGGCACATTCCTTGCATTTCCAGCTCCGTTCTTTCTTGTAAATCCCTAAGTGCATATTTTGGAATTTCACGGACTGTCGAATACCCATAGGTGACCTATTTAAACCTAGATAAACCCGTTGAAACTCCTACTCCTTGGGAGCGTCAAAAATGAAAATCCTCGAGGAGTTAAGTTCTGATGCTACAACAACAACAACAACAACCACCCCTAGTGCTTGCCACCCGGAATGCGGAAACCCAACACCGGCAATCTTTTCGCATTGACGACCGACTTTTCGGGAGGAGAATTCGGTCTGAATAGCAAAAATCTGCGCTACCCCTGGTTTCATTTTAAATTTTCTTAAAATCTATAAAAAAAAAGGACTATTTCATCCGAATAGCTACGAAAGAATGAATATTTTGAATATCTATGTATATGCAGTTGTAGATCGAACCTTCGATGTATACAACAATAGCCTTGAATATCAGCGTTTAAAATCTTGGTATATTTAAAGTGAATTTATGTTTGTCCGACAGGTAGTAGAGTTAGCTATGGCTGGTCAATATAATATAAATTACGGCAAAAAAGATGTTTTTTTACCTGGAAACGTTAAAAGCTGAAATTAGTCAAGAACGCAGAACGTATACTTAAGCGCAGTCTTTATACGCAGAATTTTGTCGATTACTGGAGCCCTCAGTGTTGCTTACTACAGTGTTGCCACTCATCAATGCCTTTTCATAAACTTACCTTTTCAACTACAATTTTTCGTGCTATAATAGATCGTAGCTAAATATAAACTACTTAGTTTTTAACAAAGAACCTTATTCAATAGTAAATTTCAAATACTTTAAACGTATTTTGAATAGGAAATTATAACTTTTTTACCATATGCAAAACTGACGAAGTGGCAACCATCTATAGAAGGAAAAAATCAGCTGACACGGAAAAATCTAAATTCGGCAGATTTCTGCGCTACGGGCTACAACTACAAAAATATTCTGCGGTTTTGAGTTTTCATTTACATGGCCAAACGTTTTCTGACATGGCGCTCTGGTAAGACAGATTGTGCAGCTGACTCGCGTTTACGTACCGGTAGGTTTACGTTCTTGACTAATTTCAACTTAAATCTCCTTTAAAATTCTAAATGTCGAAAATTATTCGGAAAGTGTAAAAATGTTTCCAAAATTGTGAATGGCACACCTAGCACACGTTAAGAAGAAGTATTTGTTTACAAATTATGGGGAATTATTCTTAATTAACAGCTGATTTTAACTGAATCCCCAGTAATTAAAAAATATACAAGGACATAACGAGCATATAAAATGCAAGTCCTCTGACAGCAAAAGTCCACATTTCACACAATATGGAAACTAGCACAGCAGCGCAAGCCGCGTTCGCCGTAACAGAGGATCGCGTAAAAAAAAAGAAACGTATATTAAAAGCTGCGGAATATGCAAGTATTTGTAGCTTCATACAGCAGTATCAGGGGCTTGCTATTGACTGTGAAATGGAAATGGCAAATCGCCTATTTCCAGATATTGAACGGCTAACGCTAAAAAGTATTCTACAGACAGAATTAGCAACACGAATGCGGGCGCAACATTGGCATTTCGAAGCAAATGCAAAGAAGTACCTGAAAACGTAAGTAAAACATAATTCAGTATATGCAAACCAAAATTATTAATCTATTTTCGTAACTAAACAGCTTTGAAGATCAAGTGGACACACATCCAGGCCCAACGCTACTGCTAAAAATCGCTTGCATGGAAGGAATGAGTCCAACGACACTCTGTCGCATTATTTTGCTGGAGAAGTACAAATTTGAACATAAATCCGAACTAAGTCGCCTGCTAAAACATCCACATCTCATTGAAGATCCGAAGCTAGCAGCAAACGTGGCGCAGTGTATGTGCAGCGATTCACAAGACGGACCGCTTGTTGATTTACGCCGACGCATTTTGGGTGAAGAGTACGAATTTAAGGTAATTAATTATTAAATGTATGGAAAGACAAAATTTTATCTTTTACCCATTTCAGCTGAAAAAGATGGCCAAAGCCGTTAATATGCACTACTATGATGAAAACGATTTGCGGCGCCTGGGCTACGATAAAACGCCTGATATTAAAATGATAGTGCCTTTCTTGTATAAAGGCGAAGTAGTAAATTGGATTGAAAGTAAGGCGACATTCGGCGATGTTAAGACACATAAATGGTACATACAGCAGCAGCTGTATAGCTATAGTAATCGGTAAGTGTCGATAAGGTTTTGAGCATGTAAAAATTTAAATCATTGGTCGAATGTTTCAGTTTTGGCGCCGGTATTGTGATTTATTGGCTAGGCTACCACGAAGAGACCCCGCTTATTTCGGACAATAATGTAGGCATCATTGTGCTGGATGACTTTCCAGCTCTTGAGCATATGGTTTTCTTAAATTTGTCGAATGAAGATACACCGTTCATAGAAACTACACGAAGCAGCACACTAGAGCCTAGTATTAACAAATCTATATCATAATTATTTTAAATTAAATTTTAAATACTCAGGTTTGTGTAGTTTAAAATCTTGTATACGCCGTTATGGTGTATGGCATTTATGTATTTGTTTCTATTTGCATATTTTAATTTATTCAGGTATTTCAAGATATATGTAATACTTAGAAAATTAAGAAAAATGTTAATAAATATTTATAATTTGATCAAAAAACTTGTATTAATTAAAGATATTATCGATAATGCCAGCTGATTTGTTATCGACAACTATCAGTAATTTTTCAATTTGTTTACATTACTATTGTGACTTCTGATAATGATCTAAAAAGAAGAACTATAAAAACCACTGACACGTCAGATTTTCGTTCGCAAATTCAGGAACTTCCTGGAAAAATCTGTTAATAGAATATATTTGGTGGAAAGTAAATTTTTTCGTCGCAATAAATCAAAAAAAAAAGTTTATTATGAGACTGAAGACAAGTTTGCTGTTAATTTTTGTTACTACAACAGTGCTGTACCAGTTTTCCGAAGGTCTGCCTGTGACAAAAAATAAAAAGGGTGAGAAAGAGGAAAACCCGAGCGTACCCGCTACCCCAGATGTTGAGACAGCTTTGGAATATGAACGATATTTGAAAGAGGTTGTGGAGGCGCTTGAAAGCGATCCAGAATTCCGGAAGAAATTGGACAAAGCCCCCGAAGCTGACATACGTGTAAGTACGCTTTGTGGCTTTTGTATATATATATGTACATAGTATGTATGTATGTTATGTGAATATGTGACATGGAATTGCACGCCCCTATTTTTTCTAGAGTGGCAAAATCGCACAAGAACTTGAGTACGTTAATCATCATGTGCGCTCCAAGTTAGACGAAATAAAGCGTGAAGAGGTTGAACGCTTACGCAAACTAGTGAATAAAGAGTTCGAGCTGGAGAATGATATTGATCGCGATCATTTGAAAGTATTGCAGCACTTGGATCATCATAATGAGCATACTTTCGAAATTGAGGATCTCAAAAAGTTGATCAAGAAAACGTCAGAAGATTTAGCTGAAGCCGATCGCAAACGACGTGCAGAGTTCAAGGAATATGAAATGCAAAAAGAATTTGAAAAGGAAACGAAAATAAAAAATATGACAGAGGAGCAGCGAAAACAGTTTGAACAAGAAGAAAAAGAGAAAGAGGAGAAGCACAAGAAACACGAAAAAGTTCATCACCCAGGCAACAAGGCACAACTAGAAGATGTATGGGAAAAACAGGATCAACTAGACAGAAAGGACTTTGATCCACACACATTTTTCGCGATGCATGGTAAGTATAGCAGTAATAAAAGAGACAACCATTTATTAATGCATATTTTTAAGACATGGACGGCAACGGCTACTGGGATGAGGTGGAGGTAAAAGCACTCTTCGTTAAGGAACTGGACAAAGTGTATCAATCAGGTCTGCCTGAGGATGATATGCGTGAGCGCGCTGAGGAAATGGAACGTATGCGTGAGCATGTATTCGAAGAGACTGACAGCAACCGCGATGGTTTGATTAGTTACCAGGAATTTTTGGAACAAACTAAACGCGAAGAGTTTAATAAA